AGAAATTTGGTTTTTTCCCCAGGAAATAGGAAAAGACCATCATTGTTGCACGTGGTGAAGAACACTGAAACACTGAGGGTTCACATCTATGAAAGCACTCGGTGAGGAAGGAGAAATCTTTTAATGAAAATTTAGTTTTTGAATAGGGCTCCGTGAAATGTTGCATGGTTTTATATCTTCATTTATGTAAACGTTAGAAGATAAAACCCAATGATCTTATTACGCTTCTAAGCCCTCTAATGAAACAAAATATTGTTGGCAGCACATTTTGTTAGCACTTATTAGCCCAAAGGCTCGATTTGCCCAGAAGGGCTATTAATTTCGTTTCGGCATTTTGCGCCGTCCACTATAAAACGAAGCTTCAATTTTCAAAGTGTTGCCACCAAATATTAGAGTCCTGCATTAAGTTCAAAGAAATTAAATAATGAAGAATCTGCATGAATGTATGTAGGTATGTTTCCTACACTGTGAAAAACGACGGTACTTAGAGACATCAGATTTTGAATAGCGTAGTCCTCCACTCGAATAAGAGCCTCTGGAAGCCCAAATTTGGAATTTGTTTCATTATCTGTTTCATATTTTTTAAAACTTAACGAATTTTTAATTAAGAATTTCAACGATTTCAAAGCGAGCAATGGCAGCACTGCACGAAAAGAAAAACATTTTTATCACTAGCGCGAGACTATGTGTGGGAAATTCTAAAGATATGCTTTTTAAAAATATTTTTTGATATTGCTGCTGAACCGAATTTTCTGGTTTAAGTGCGAAGAAATATTTAATAAATAAAGGTAACACACAAAACGTTAGAAAACGCCCCTTTGGGCGTAATATAAAATCTGAAAGGTTTCAGCCATTTTTAAAATTATTTTTATGTTTTTATCAGATTTTGCTTTATCTATTCATAATAAAAAAGTACAAATTATTCACGTAAAAAATAAGAATGTAACATTAAAATCATGTGGCAAACTAAAATTTTCATATTTATATTCATAAAATTGTAACAAGTGTTTAGAAGTTTCCATCAGTCACAAGGAAAATTTTAATTATTATTCCAAAATTACTTAATATTTCTATTGTCTTTTTCTTCCATGAATTTTAAGGTATTGGATCTTATAAAATGCATAATTTGGTTTGAATGTCCCACAATACCAGACTAAAATCGCTCTAGAATCTTGACAAAGACATTAATAATAATGATAAAGAAATCATTAAAATAACTTAAAAACTTTCCAATAAGTTTATCTTGCGTTCATCCTTCTGCATACATCACATCGAAAAAATTAGATACAATTGCATTTCATGAGGCTAAACTGCATTTAATAAAAATTTCGATTTGAAAACAACCATTTTACAGCTAAGTTTCCGATTTGAAATGATTATGGTTATCATTTTGAAATATTTCATTTATTTGCAATAGATATTTGGATTAAAATGTCCTGAGCATTCTAATATAAATATACAATATATATATATATATAATACTTATTGCATTAATGTGCATATATTTATATTGTATAGATTTATTTTGTTGGAAAAACAAATATTTTACAGAAATACTAGGACTAATATCCAGCATATCTTAAATATATATCGTTACACATGATGACAAATTGTGTATTCAAAATATTAGAAGCAGCAGTGGGGATAAATGACCTCCTCTTCAGCAGAATAGATCTAAATAAATATATGCTACATATCGAACACCTCTTTTTCTTGAGAATGTATCATGATACTAATTCAGAAGTCAAACAACAAAAATCAGCGTTATATTTTCAAAATTTTCACAGTACTAGTTTCGATGGTTTTACCGAACCACCATCCTCGGCTGCAAAACCGCAAATGAACAAGATAAGAAATAATGATTAGATAAGATAAGAAAGCCTGGAGAAGAATAAGCAAGTGGCGCCATCTGTTGATGAAACCAGAACTAAAACATAATTTAGGATCGTTAACTAGTTAACGATCCTAATTCCAATCCATCTTTGCCTTCGACCTTTAAAGGAGTTATGTTTTAGTTCTGGTTTCATCAACAGATGGCGCCACGTGCTTATTCCTGTCCAGGCTTTCTTATCTAATCATTATTTCCTATCTTGTTCATTTGCGGTTTTGCAGTCGAGGATGGTGGTTCGGTAAAACCATCGAAACTAGTCCTGTGAAAATTTTGAAAATATAACGCTGATTTTTGTTGTTTGACTTCTGAATTAGTATTTATTCGGCATGTTATTGTGTCTTAATGTATCCTGATCTTCGAAAATGGGTACATGTAGTGAATTTATGAATTTCTTTACACAGATAATCAATAAATAAACAGGTAAGATAGCTGTGTTGGTGTATTTCTAAAGAAGCATTGATTTTAATGTTCTCAAGCAAAAAATACATTCAATTTAAACTAGTCATAGAAAATGTTTCCAATTTCAAAATATTTTCGATGATCTTTTATGGAATAAGCCTAGAAAATAACGCGAGAGAAGAAACGAGATCCAGGCCGGGGAAATGAAAAAGCACATTAACAAGTAAATATTAAAGCTTTTCTTTGAAATATCTTAATTTGTTGCTATTTATCACGTTACAGATGGCAATGGTAAATCTCATGCTGAAAGTATTTTACAGTTGTAGATAATTAAATGAGTAATACCTTCGTTTAACTAATCTAATGAGTCTCTTTGCCTTCTTCGTATTTATTATATGCACATCTAAAGGTTTTGATTTTTGTTATTTTTATTGTATACGGAAATAAAAAAGGAATTCAGAAAACCTCCAGCAGACTGGGACTTTTTTCCCTAGCGATTCCGAAAACTTACTTCCGTATAACGCTTTCCACTGACTGCGGTTGAAAATTTATGATTAGGACGAAGAAAAAAGATGAAAAAATGAAACTAACAACTGAGATTTTATACTGTGGCTTTTTCCTGTTTATGAACTAGCTTCGTTTGGAACCGTATCTGTCTGGGAAAGCGTATTGTGGTTAAATGATTTGAACTGATGAAAATACTGAGGCTTTTTAAAAAAGGCATTTAGTACTACTTTGTGCTGAAGGATATATTTGTCTTATTAATTTTTTCGTGTTTTGAAAGTGAATTTAAGTTTCAATGATATTTGCAGAGTTCAATTAACATTTCCCCAATCAATTAAAAAATTTATCTCAAAGTAATCTTTAGAAAAATAATTAATTATAGCAGAATTATCCCCAGATGAAACACCAGATGAACAATTTATAGATGAACAATTATAGATGATGATGGTTTTAGATGAACAATTTTTATCAATGCATATAATTAATGTTATCGATTATGGGTACAGGAAAATTGAATCATTTCTTTCATTCATTACAAAACTATATCATTTTCTATAAGCATAAATGATAACATTAATTACAGTAAATAAATTTGAAAGAATTCATTCTTAGTTAATTTGTATTGCAATGTTTAAAATTGAGGGAGAAAAATTTAATCTTTTCTTTTGCAGTGTAAAGTTTATTCCAAGCTCCTTGCCAGCACCACCAATCAGAATGGTGATGCAAGCTTTGGAAGTATGTTATTAAAGCGTTGACCTTAAATGAGATTTAACTATTCAAATAGAAGAAAGTTAGAAATTCTAATGTTTGTCCTATACACAAAAAATTATTCCGAAATTATTTTCGTTTTAAGTCATGTGATAGATAATTAAGATGTAAAAAACTGAAGAAATTTTTAAACACCCCAGAAGAATACACTGGATTTAAAAACTGGTTTATGTCTGTTATCTGGGAGAATTATCTCTTAATTAATAATTATATAATCCATCTAGCTTTCAAAAACGTAATTATACCTCACGATAATTTTTGGGTAATTGTACTAAACTCCCTATTAGAAACAGGGCGACTGGAAGAAAAATGAAATACTCGAAGCAATAAATTTCCAAATAATTAAATTTAAAAAAAATTATGTTTAAAGCAGAAGAGTGTATTTTAAAGAAAAAATATATATATAAAAATTCAGTATTCACTGCAGTGAATAACACATTTTTAAAGCTTTTTTTAAACTTTTTCAGTCTTAAAATAGTTTAGTACATTATATATAATTTCTTCCTAAAGTAATTACATAAAAATAATGCAATTATTAATTATTGGTCTTAGTAGTTGTTGAATTAGGACAATAAAAATTTTAAAAAGAAACATAAAATCTAATTTATGCTCAGAAATTTTGAATCCGAGCTTAATTGTCCCTGCAGACAGATCAGAAAGATCCTGTTCTGCTTAAAAACACATTTTGCTGTTTCAGTACAGCAATAACACAGCCAGCTCTCGTCTAAAATCTCACGTAAGGAAGCTAAGTAGGCGTACATAACTCGTGCAGAAACATAAAACGTTGTCTACACAGAACTGTTCACTTGTATTACGACTGAGCGAAGGAAAGAAAGTCTTTTTAAATGACAAAATAATGATGAACCCACCAGCGGTATAAGTCGCTGAACATTGGCGGAACAAGTTTGGTCCAAACGGGCTGGTTGCACGGGCGCTTTTGTGGTTTTCCCCATGTATAATAAGAATACGAGGCAGTTTCGCTTAAAAAGTCCTCACGAAGGCATCCGTGCCCTTAGGCAGATAGGCCTCGAGGCTTTCCTGTAATCACATAAACTAAAACAAAACAATGGTTATTTTACATTTATATAATATGCATAAAACAGCGAAATGTTTCATTTTAAATATTTTGTGTGAAGTATATCAAATCTGAGATTACAACTATCATTTTTCGACCCTACTTATAGGATTTATTAAGGACTAAAAGGAACGTAAGAATGTGATTATATATAGTTCGTGAAATGTGTGGTGAAAAAGTGCTCGGTAACAGTCGTAGAATCAAGGGCAACTCGCGTAAAGAGTAATACGAGTACGAACTTTGCTTACCTTGATTTTTTTTAAATAGAAAATAATTGCTCACGTTTGTGTGCGGAAATAAAATTATTATTATAATTTCTGTTTCTTATTTGCAGCAAATATATTTTCTCTCTTTTTCTTCTAGTTTATCGGCTGCGAAAAAGCTTTTTCACGCCTGGAAAACTTGAAAATCCACTTTAGGTCTCACACTGGTGAAAGACCGTATCACTGTCAATACTTAGGTTGCCCGAAAGCTTTCAGTAATTCGTCTGACAGGGCCAAGCATCAGAGAACTCATCAAGACTCGGTAAGTCTTAGTTTTCATGATGATAATATGTCTGGATTTTTTAATAAAATAACAGCATTTGGACCTTTCGTTAGCGGACTTTCCACTTTAATGGACACTCTCATTAACGCAGTTCGTAAATCCTCAGATCCTTCAAATGGAAGAATAGTGCATTCTTCTTTAGTGGAGAGACTCTATCGTAACAGACGAACACTCCGATGACTGACGAGACAATGACGTTCGCATAGTATTTAGAGCGTTCATATCATGAAATGCAAGAAAAATGCGTATAATTTAATATTCCGTACAAGGAAGTCATGTGGTGTACACATCCGATATTTTTGAATAAGTATACCTCAGTTTTACTGTCTTTTTTAACAGTACAGACCTTTGGAGTGGTTGATCATTTGGCATCATGTTAGGAAAAGTACATAAATTGCAAAAGATTGCATCTAAATGTAGGTTGTGCGATGTTTTATTGTTGTGCACTAAGGACTGTGACTTAATAAAACTTACTATGTTTTAAGTGTGGGAGACCAATGTAAACATTCATACAGTTAAATCTGTGCACAAAAAATTTGACATCACTATGAAAATTACCAGCGCTTGTTTTAGACATCTAACATTTTTGGGCTAACTATATTATGCATAAAAATATAAAATTAGATCCAACTTTTCAAGAGAAAATTTATGAATTTCACATATTTCCCTCTAAATTAAAACTTGGGTTTAAAAAAAAGAAAAGGAAAGAAAAATAATTTTTGAAATCAATATGCGGAAGTGTGCAGCGAGCACGGCATTTCTAACAAGATATTTACTTAGCTTAAAATTCATATTTTATACTATTAGTTGATTGTTTAATTAAATACTAGTTAAAAGTTATAATTAAAATATTTGTTTCTTAGACTTATGATAAATATTTTAAAACCATTTTCATTTATCGGAACGATGTTGAAATAAATGTAACTCATCGGTTTTCAGATGTATTTGATGTATATTTAAAATAATTTGAGGTAGGTTGGTCAACTTTTTTATATTTCCAATACTTGTTTTTTTAGAAGCCATATTACTGTCAAGAGCCCGGCTGCAGCAAAAGGTACACAGATCCAAGTTCATTGCGGAAGCACGTCAAAAATCATTTCCTGAGAATGGAACAATTTAATAAAAAAGTAAGTGTTTTAAAAACCATTTGATTTATTTCATAAATAAATTGGTAATCAATGCAATTTTAGCTTCGAGTTGAATTTTTGTTTACAATTGTAGCGTCTATGTCTTTTTGGGAGCACCGGCAGTAGACCCTACGTGAAAGACTGCGTAGCGAGTTCTCGCTATGTCTTGAAGAACAGACACTACAGAAGAAGGTTTAAATAACTTTTTTATTTGAACTAAAGAATTAAGATGCACGCACTCGGTGCTCACAATTCACCACCACTTGTGGCTAAACTCAACTGAACAGAAAATAAAAATGTGCAATCACTATAAATTAAGATGGCTAAACGACTGCCTCCTTAGTTATCTAAAACGCTAAATCGGCTGCACACAGCAATGCCGAGCCTAGAATATTGTTACGAAATGTCAAGGCGCGGTGAGATGGCTTCCCCGCAAAGCAGTTTTAGGGTTGCCATAAAATGGCAAGAGAAGACAGGGTTGCACATTTAACGAGAAATCGTCCCTTTGGCGACAAAATTGGCGATGTACCATGGAGGATTGGAGAACCTTCTGGAACGAATTCTTACCGGTTTAGCCCAGAATGTTCTCGAACACAAGCCGAAAGCTATATAAACCCTGCTGGTCCGCAGTCAGTTAGTGTGTGTCTCTCATCGAGAATGTGTGTGCCTCGCATAGCGAGCTGATAGAGAGAGTGCCTCGTCTAAAGTGCAAGATAGTTAGTATCGAGCTGGTGTCTCGTCTAGCGAGTCATTTCCTGAGGAGTCAATCGAGTTGACAGCCGGGCAGCGAGTGCCGAGTAGGTCGTCGAGTTCACCGTAGGAGTCTCTTTGTGTATCGCGGTTAGTGCATCGTCGAGAGAGCGTGTTGAGCTCCAGGAACGACTGAACCGAAGAGTCGGGAGCCGTGCTCTGTGTGTCGTCGAGTGCATCGCGAGTTGTAGCGTGGAGAGTCTCGAGAGTAGGTGGAGTTTTGAGAATGACCAAGAAGAGTCAGGAGCTGTACTCTAGTGCATTGCCGTGAAGCTGTGTCCACCTGATAGCCTGATAACCTGCAGGATGTGTCCCTGATTGTGTCAGCGTGTTTATAGTAGTTTATCGATGACTGTAAAAACGTGTTTTGGAGCAGTCCTGACAATACTGGCTAATAAAGTGTGTTTCGATACTTCATCAAGTAGTGTCGTCATTATTCACTCCAAATCTACAAACCCCGAAGTAACGTGAAGGAAGAAAATAACACAACAACTACTGTCAGAAAAAGAAAAACGCAACAATATCAATATAATATGAAGAACACCAACTAGAGAGTTAATTCAAACACGCAGCATAAACTCGGAACTAACTCCGCTACTCCTCCTCATGAACTATTAAAACCGCAGCTTAAATACTGTTTCTGAAACACACTTAGATTTTGAATACTACGTAATTAAAATTTACATTCCGGCAGGAAACTGAAGTCAGGAAGGAAAGGAAAGTCGAACTAAAAATAATTGTTTAGAATAAAACAAGGTCTTTAAAATATCTTTATGACAAATAAAGTTTCTGTCAAGAAAAATAATGTGATTATTTATAATTTATTTTAGAAGAAAAATGTTCAGCAAAATAATTTCCTCCAGATGCTAGAACAGTTGTGCAAATTTTTAATTTTTTGGTGCAAGTTGAATTAAAATTAATTTTAATTGAAATTGATATTAAAATGTGAATACATTTTGCTAGTTTTTAAATAATCAGAAATCACGTGACTCTTAATAATGCACATAAAAAAATAAAATATATTTTTCTTAGACAGATTTCTTTTCTTGAAGAGACAATATTATAGCGAAATATTGAAATCTAACAAAATAATGCATTTACGGAAAAAACTTTGTTAAGAAGAGATTAATCTAAACTTAACCTATATAGACCTGAATATTTAACGAATAGAACCAACCAATTTTGTTTATAGTATAAGTTAAAGCCGCCTAATTTTTTAAACTAAAGACTGTGATTGAAAAGCATCTTTACTAGCAGCCCACCAGCGGTTGAGCGGTAAAGTCGCTGAACACTGGTAGTTTGGTTCGAGGTTCGAATCCCGCGAACGGGCTGGCTGCATGGGCGTTTTCGTGGTTTTTCCCATGTGTAACGTGTATACGAGCCAGTTTCCCTTAGTCCTCCATGAAAGTCCTCCACGAAGGCATTCCTCCCCTTAGGCAGATAGCCCTCGAGGCTTTGCGATAATCATACACACACACACACACAACACACATCTTTACTAACATCCAGATTGGGTGCATTTTGTATATTAAGAAGTTATGCGGAACCTAGCCTTTTACAGTAAAAAGAAGAAAAAATAGCAAAAAGTAAAAAATCGAATATACCACGAAACGCTCACTTACATAATTTATTCACTTTTAGAATCAAATTAATACGAAATATTTTAGCTCAAAGGGGCAATTTGCCCAAAAGGGCTGTTAATTTCGTTTTGGCATTTCGCGTTGGTTCACTATAAACGACGTTTCGCTTTTCGAATTGTTGCCACCAAATATTAGAGCGCTGTATTATGTGTAAAGAAATTAAATAATAAGAATCTGCATGAATGTAGGTACGTTTCTCGCACTGTAAAAAACAACGGTACCGAGAGATATAAAATTTTGAATAACGCAATTCTGCACTTGAATATAGGCATCTGGAAGCCCTAATTCGGAATTTGTTTTATTATCTATTTCGTATTTTGTAAACCTTAACTGTTGATTAACAAATTCAACGATTTCAAAGCGAGCGATGACAACACTGTACGAAAAAAAAAATTATCTTTAGCGCGCGAGACTGTGTGTCGGAAATTCTGAAGATATGCTCTTTTTAAATTATTTTGTGATGTTACTTTTGAATTGAATTTTACGGTTTAAGTGGAAAGATATGATGTTTAATAAATAAAGGCAACACACAAAACGTTAAAAAACGTCCCTTTGAACGTAATATAAAATTCGAAAGCTTTCAGATTTCTTTTAAAGTAAAATTATGTAAGAATCTTTACAAAATGAAGTCATTAATACAGTGGCCTCAAACTCTAATTGCACGTTGGCGACGTGGGTTAAATCTGAAAACGACTGACGTTAAATTTTAAATTTCCTTTACTAAATATAACTTACTTATAAAAAAAGATCTTTTAAGTGTTCAGAGGGAACTTCCGAAGTGGAACATAAGTTGAGAACAAATAATGACAAACTTTTCCATTCTCTTATTCATTAAACATTTCTTCGACACCTAAATAAAAATACATATGGTTCTTTGTAAAGAATTACAAAATTCTTTATTTCTTATACTCGATGGCGCTAAATGGCGTTTCGATTCACAGATAACGTTTGTAGTCTTGGTAAAAATTTGCCAGAAAATATCTTCATCACGAATTGTAGATGCTCATCGGCCAATCATGTTGCTTTCTTACTGTAAAGATCGTGACTTGTAAAGATCATGACTTGTGAAGATCGTGACTTAAAGAGAACGTGAAATATAAATAATAGGACAAGAACTTGCATTTTACGGTGTGGCAACAAGAAGAGGATTCGAAAGATTTTTTATATTTTTTTTGTTTTAGAGAGTTTAAGATTATTTAGTTTTTTTGAATAGTTGTAAGAGTTTTAACTGCAGTAGTTAAGAGTTTAAAATTTTGATAGTTTAGAGCTGCAGTATTTTTTTTTTTTGGTTCTGTTTTAAAATTTAAATAAAAGTATTTTGTTTATTCTGAAAAATTAGCTTTATTCTTCCTACAAGATTCAATATTCATTATATTGAAATAAGGAAAGGATTTTTACTGGCGCAGTCGACAGGATCGGGATTTCCCCGCATATAATTACGAACCAAAATAACTCGGGTGAGAGCTCAATTTACCTTGTAAACGTAAAATAATTAATTAAGATTATGAAAAGTTAATTTATTGTTTCCGTCATGGAATCTTAGTTTATTTACTTGTCAAAGTAATGAATACGCCAGTGTTCAAATGTAATTTCGTTTGACTCGCCAGAGTAAGTGAACAAACACATTAAGAATTGATTCCACTGATTGATTTTCGTGCCGAATAAAATTAAATTCATTGTGAATTATATTTAAATAGAAAAAGAAAAGAGAAAAAAAAATGTTTTTTTTTTTAAAAAAACTAAGAGTCTATTGGCTGAATAAAATCGAGACATGGCTTTTATGGGACGTGGGAAAAAAGAGGATTTGCTGGCTTTAGCTGCTGAATTAGAAATTCAAGTAGATCCAAGTATGAAAATCGTGGCGATAAAAAATGAAATAATTCAAAGTGATACATATGATGAAGCATTTGCTAAAGAAGTGTTTTTAACGATTATTGAAGAGAGGAAAAGAAAAGAAGAGGAACAGCGAAGAAAGGAGAAAGAAGAGCTTGAGGAAAGGCGAAGGAAAGAAGAGATTGAGGAACAGCGAAGAAAGGAGAAAGAAGAGCTTGAAGAAAGGCGAAGGAAAGAAGAGATTGAAGAACAACGAAGGAAAGAAGAGCTTGAGGAAAGAAAAGAAGGAAAGAAGAATTAGAAAGCACAGCAGAAAGAGAGCAAATGGAGTTTGAATTGAGGAAACTCGAAATTGAATCTCGTGTTCGACTAACACAAACTCCACCAACAAATGAAAATGGACATCATAATTTTGATTTAATTAAGCTTATTCCCAAATTCAATTTAAGACACGATGATATTGTGATTTATTTATCCTTATTTGAAAGACAAGCTAAAAGGACAAAGATTGATCCTAAAGATTGGGTTTCATGTTTATTGACTTTAATGCCATCTGAAATCATTCAATTAATTGGTAGGGAATCTGAAGAAAATTTTGAAGATTATGAGTACATTAAGGCCATTTTATTGAAGAGATTTAAATTAAATCCTGAAAGCTTTAGAAAAAATTTGTGATGCACCAAAAGAGCGCTGAAAAATCATGGAGAGATTTTTGCTACGAAATTACAAGTTATTTTGAAGAATGGATCAATGGTCTTGAAATCACAAATTTTGCCGCGTTAAAAGACTTGATTATTACTGACCAAATTAAGAAAAGAGTACCCTATGAAGTAAGAGACCATCTTCTTGACGACTGGGCGAAGTTCGTTTCTCCAACCAAATTAGCTGATAAACTTGACGAATATGACAGTGTTCGTAATATCTCAAAACGGACTGGTGGTAATCCATCAGCAGACAGAACTAATAAAAAATGGCAACCTCATTCTCCACTTCCAGAAAGAGCTTTCAGAAATAAATCGCTGTCCGCTGAAAACACGCCAAGAGTGTACCCATCCCGTAAGAGTGACGAACCACAAAAGCCTAGTTTCAAACTAACTTGCTATAATTGTGGAAAAGAAGGTCATACATCTAAGTTATGTACCAAAAATCGGATACCAAGAAGTGCTTCTGCAACAGCACAAAACAACTTAATACAAACACAAGCACCCCTTACAGAAAAAGAAAAACCAGAAGTGCTAACTGCCAAGATCTCTATTCCTGTCTCAAAATCAGTGGACGTGTCTAGAAACATAGATGAATTAAAACTTGTCAAAGTTAAATGTGGAGATTTATTTTAAATGGAATCGTAGACACGGGAGCACAAATCTCAGTAGTCCGTGAGAAATTGGTTGACAACATACCTTGCGAAGGAGAAAGTAAAATAGAGATATCTTCTGCTTTTGGTGAAAACGAAATTACTCCACTAAAGATTTTCCAGATGAAAATTGACGATGATTTTCACGGTAGAGTGTCCATTACGTGTGCTGTTTCAAAAAAGCTAGTTACCGATTTGCTATTGAGTTCTTCAGCTTATGAAACACTCTGTGGGAATATCGAACTGTTTAACTGTGATCGTTATTGGGATGCATCCCCCTTAGAGTACAAAGAGACAGATGATAAACCCTTACCAGTTGAAGACAATACTACAAATTTGGCTGTTGTTAATCAGATTTCCCAAGAAAACATAGAGTCTCTGAAAACAACGAACAGAGTAAGACTAGAATTCAAGACACATCAAGAACAAGACGAAACTCTGAAAAAATGCTTTGAATGGGCAAATAAAAATCAAAATTCATATACTCTCGATGATGGCATATTACTTCATTCCGAATATATCTGTGGTGAAAACATTAAGCAAGTTGTGTTACCTTTAGAAAAAAGAAGGGAAGTCCTAAGAATGGCACATGAAATCCTTCTTGCCGGCCACCTCGGTGAGAAAAAGACAATTCAACGAATCAAGTACTCATTCTTTTGGCCTACTATTAAGCAAGATGTTAAAAAATTCTGTGGAAGTTGTAAAGAACTGCCCTTTACAGAAATGGAGAGAAAACAGAAATGATAGAAGATAAAATTGTTGAACAGGAAGCACAGAAGGAAGAAATTATAACAGGAAGAAACTAAGAGGGTAGAAACAGAAGATGAACTCAAAGAGGAAAAGTTAATTGACAGCAAAATAACAGATGTAGAAATTATTCCACCTGAAAGTAAAAACGAATTTATGGGTGAGACTGAAATCCCAGTTGAAAAAGAAACTGTCAATGAAAGTGAAACTCAAAGTGAAGCCCATAACCAAAACAGAAAATACAGATGATGCTGAAACTGCAGCTGAAAAAGAAATAATTGCAGATGACAATAAAACTCAAGTAAATCTTGATTATGAGAACATAGAAGAGAAAGAATATATTGCTGAAATTGGAAACGAGAAGGAAAAAGTAGATGATAAAAAGAATGACTTAATAATCCATAAGGAAAGTGTGAAAGCTGACTTAGTAACTGAAAATGAAAATGTAAATCACACAGAAGCTGCAGATCTTGAAACTGAAAATAAACTTGCAGATAACAGTGAACTATTACAATTTACTGAAAAAGAAATTCTGGATGATAACAGAAACAAAAAGTACAATAAGGACAGCATAGATACTGTTGAACTGGGAGATGAAAAAGAAAGTGTGGATTATACAACAAAAGTTGAAACTGAAAAGGAAAATGTCATCCACAATGAAACTGAAAACCACAGAAACCTTTCAAGTTCAAGGGTGAAAACATGGAAGATTGAACAGAAAGTTATTCGGATGAAAGCGAAGAACTGGAAGACGAGAAAGAAACGGAAGGAATTGCTGAATTAATAGAAGAGCCCGAGTCCGAGGTAGACGATCTACATCATGTTGATGAAGAATTATTAGAAAAAGCAGAAAAAAAAATTGCTGAGATTTTTTTTAGTTTATAGGACTTTCACCAAGCACAGAAATCCCATATTTGAAGAAATTGATAAAGTTGAAACAATTGATAAATGGTATGAGCTACTTGACAAAGCCATTGGAAAGATAGAAGAGAGGAAAGATGATAAGGAACAACAGCTACTAGGATTGCCTACCATAGGTGAGAATGATAATGAACATAAGCCATTTACAAAAGAAATGCCCATAACATTTTTCAGCAAGAAATTAACGCCCTGTCAACAACGATGGTCAACCATCGAACGAGAAGCATTTTGTGTCATCGAAGCCTTGAAAAAATTTGACACATGGATTTTCGGTGCCAAAGTGCAGATTGTGTCTGATCACAATCCCCTCACCTACTTGACCCAAAGCGCCCCTCATGGTGCTAAACTGTCTCGTTGGGCCTTAGCGTTACAACGGTATAACATGACTGTGACATACCGCAAAGGAAGTTCACATGGGAATGCTGATGCTTTGTCAAGGTTAGCTGTTAACTCTTTCTCTCTCAATGAACTCTGAGCAACATTGTCTCTACGGTGACGAATGTGCTTCTTGTGGGGGGACTTGTAAAGATCGTGACTTGTAAAGATCATGACTTGTGAAGATCGTGACTTAAAGAGAACGTGAAATAAAAATAGGACAAGAACTTGCATTTTACGGTGTGGCAACAAGAAGAGGATTCGAAAGATTTTTTATATTTTTTTGTTTTAGAGAGTTTAAGATTAGTTAGTTTTTTTGAATAGTTGTAAGAGTTTTAGCTGCAGTAGTTAAGAGTTTAAAATTTTGATAGTTTAGAGCTGCAGTATTTAATTTTTTTTGGTTCTGTTTTAAAATTTAAATAAAAGTATTTTGTTTATTCTGAAAAATTAGCTTTATTCTTCCTACAAGATTCAATATTCATCATACTGAAATAAGGAAAGGATCTTTACTCTTACTAATTTTCCATCGAGAAAAATTGCTGATCACTTTAAATATTTTCCTACATAAGGCAATCATTCTTAGAGCAAAATTACGTAACTGAGTATATCAATCTTTTGAAAAGTACGAATAAAAATGAATCAAATCTGTATCTTCAAATCTCTGAATGATTTTTATATTACGCTGTAAATTCGTAGAGGTTTTGGTGCCATTATTCATAATCGTTTTAAATGGTAATGAAAAACACCGTATTCGCAACAAATACGTCACTGAAATGTCTTCGAGGGCAAAATTGCTTCAGGGGCTGCACGCCATCCGCGAGTTTGAGACCACTGCATTAACATACAACATATTTAGTTTTATTTATCAACATCATTAATTTAGAATTAAAAGCAACAAAAATCAGTGTTATATTTCCAAATTTTCACAGGACTAGTTTCCATGGTTTTACTGAACCATCATCCTCAGCTGCGAAAGAGCAAATGAACGAGATAAGATATAATGATTAGATAAGATGAGATAAGAAAGCCTGGACAGGAGATAAGCTACTGGCGCCATCTGTTGATGAGACCAGAACTGAAACACAATTTCTTTAAAGGCTGAAGGTAAACATAGATTGAAATTAGGTTCGTTAACTAGAGCAGAAAGAGCTTTTTGTTGTTTTCCTTCTAAATTAATACTTGTTCGGCGAGTTATTTTATCTTAATTATCAGTATCCGTGACATCCAAATTTTTTTTATCTCGTGCGTCACTAATGCTCTGAATGATGTCAGCATATTAACTTTACAGTCATACTATTATAATGTCCTGATTCTACTTTTATGTTTTTTGCTTTCATTTCCTTCTCAAAAAGATGTGTTGAATGCAACAGATCTCACTTTAAAATTGCTTATTTTTTTTAAATATTAAGTAAAACAAACGACTTTGTATGTAAGCAATTTAATTTTGTTTGTATTAAGGATAAGTTAAATTTAAGAAATTTCAGAAGAAAGAAGTACTGAAAAGTACTGTGATAAAAAATACTGCTACTACAAACGTATATTATAAAAAATTAATTAAAACATATTCGATATTTTTATTTCATTTATAGCATAAATTCCAAACATTAATTGTCAAACTTATCACACTGTAATAAAATAAACTTTATGTGTTTCCCAAAATTCGATTTGTTTAAAGCTTCTTCAAAAAATGCTGTTTTCTTTTAGCTTCGCCCTTCAAAGGAAGATAACAGCTCTCTCAAAGCGCCTCTTTTCTTGGATTCCTTAGATTACTGTGATTACAGTAAAAAACAGTTCTCTGAAAGTTCATTTACAGGTATTTTGGTGACGTATATTTTATATTTTAGTGCAATACATTTGATATGTTCTTCGAATTTAATCGTTATTTTTTTGAGAAAAAAACTTATTTTTATGTGAATAATGCAACTTAAATGCAGTGACGTATTATTCGATTAACTGTATGGTAATTAAAAATACTTTCTTGTGTAACTTTTAAACATGAAAAGGTGTAATTGATTTGTTAATTTCCCAAGTAGTAAGCCTAGAGGAAATTTTAATGACACAGTTTCTTTTCCAGATGGTGAAAATGGAGGCAATTTTTCTTCTGATAACGAGGACGCTTATGTTTTTTCATGGAGCACCCAAACATTGGTGGATGACGGAGAGTGGTAATTATAAATTTAATGACTTTTGGAAGCATTAAACTCTTAGGATTAAGCGAGTCATTTAAAATATGAAATCGAATCTTTTTATAAGAAATGCAAAAGTTGTTTACGTCTGAAAACCTTTCTACACTACAAGTGGAATTTTTTAAACTAAGAATTTTTCTCCTAGAAATGAGTGTTTGTCGGTACTTTAAACCTGCCATGAAAATAAGGGAGTACATTTACATACATTTCCGAAAGCAATTGACTAACATCTAAAATTTCGTATCAAAGTATTTAAATAATTTTTTTAAACTAGCTGTTGTCAGAAAAATAAGCTACATTAAGGTAAATGTTACAAACAAATATATTATTTGTTTTTAGGTATTAAAATTAATTTTCCAGCCCTACACTTAAAAGCGACAGAAAAAAGGTCTCTTTCGTTTTTATTTTATGTTTCCTTCAATAGTAGAGCGATTTAATTTAATTTCCCTTTATCCACATTTAACTAGTAAAAAACTCAATTTTAGTTTCGCATAGATTTTTGAAACTAGTGGCTTTTGAGGACGATTAGAAAAGGAAAAGAAGCAGAAGTGGAAGGGGCACCAAAACTTTTAGCAGTGCTACGAATCTCCTTTATAGACTGCACCTTGGGCTAAAATAAAGGTGTGAACTACGTAAATCACATTGCGCAGAGAGGTATAATCTAAAGCATAGATCACTGAGCGAAGGACAGAATCTGCCCAATATACAGAGATTCACTAAAAGAACTACAGGTAGAATACTCAGCAAGAGAAACGCATCAGCAGGTTTTCCCGATAAACGTTCTCCAAGTCAATCGACAGTCAGCCAAAATAATGTTAATGCAATTTATGACAGAAAATAAAATTTGATCCAAAAAGAATAGAAGAACCACTTCTGTCTATGAACAAACCTCTGTCATACAAGAGCCACATCCCCGTGTGGGTAGTCTAACAGATCTTTCTATGGGCTGGAAAGCCTTCTTTTCTGACAACTCCAAAGCTGGGATAATTTATACCTAGCCTTTTGATTCGCTTCTACTCCAAACCTCTCATTAGTCAGTAACAATAATTCTAGGCGACCAAAACGCAAAAAACTTACCATCTATTTCTCATCGATATAGAACATGGGAGAAGCATTTACTGCCTTACAGCATCCAAAAATAAGTGAACGCTGTAAAAATGTAATTAAGGGAGATGTAAACGTGAAAAGCCCTGTCTGGGAAAGCCCGATTGAAGATATAAGAGGCTAAAAATTTATCTAGTTCTTCTCAATTCAAGACACTCCTCATCAACATTCGAAACATTACGAGCAAACGTCTGACCAGATGTCACGCTCATTTCTACAGACCTGGCAAATAATGGGAGCAACTGGGAAGTCCTCAATACAGATTCAATAACGGATCACAACTATATTTCTTTCACAATCTGTCATAGGGCAGTTAAGTATCTTAAATTCAGATTTAAGACTAAATACAGGGATCATTCAAGCTTCACAACACTTTAAAGGAGCGGAAGAGAGTTTCACTCTATAGATAGCTGCCAGTCACATTTCAGCCTGTCTTGAAGAAACATCAGAAGCTCTTATAGAAAGCATAAAAGCAGATTCCTACGCAGCTCACGAATGAAACAAGCTCCTATTAAAAATCACCCCACGTCGTGGTCAAAGGAACCTAGCATCCACAAGAAAAGCTTAATGCATGTAGGCGTCGCTATCAAATAAGTTATGGCAAAAAACGACGACAGCACTACTGCATACTCCTGAAAAGGAATCGTACCAGATATAAGTTGGCAAAACTAGATGCAAAGAAATGGGCCTGGCGGGCCTTCTGCACTAATACAACAGTGCAGTTTGGTATAACCTTCAAAAGGGAAATAGCGTGCTCTACAGAGGATGAAAAAAATTACTTAGAAGCTTTTAGCACCGCCGCAACTGTGTGAATTTTCTTGAGAATCTGTTCTCCAAAAATATCATAGATACGGATACCTCTTATCATACAGTAGTTAGGAAACAAGGAAGATATATTACACCCAACCTAGATAAATTCAAAAGCAAACTCTCTCAGAAAGGGCAAATTTAATAAAACGCCTAACTATTAGTTAAGCTCTAGGACCAGATAGACTGGACAACACCATCATAATAGAAGTGATTCTAGCAGTTCGTGAACATGTGATTTGCTTTTCAAGTCGTTGCTGGGAAATGGGATGTTTTCCAGTTTCATTAAAGGACGCTGAAGTAGTTTTATTCCTCAAACAAGGCACATCAACGACGTTGCTGTTCTCCCATACAGCGATCAGTCTCTTGGCCGTCCTTAAGTAAGCTACTTGAGAGACCTGAGATTGCAATGTGATCTGTACAGAGCTGCCAGACAAAGCCACCTTCAGTTTGACTTTGAAGAAGGACTTTCAGTTGATCCCGCGCTGTATAATCTTAAGAAAGTCAGAGACAGCAATCTTTTAAAGGGTAAACACACGGCGGTGATCTCGTTTGACATCAAAGAGACTTTTGACGCCCTTTGATAGCCAAATATACTATTCTCATTGTACCTCCTGGGAGTTAGTAAGGATGCCATTCGAATAAGTAAAAACAGTAACAGCTATCTATGATAGAGCCTATCTGTCACAAAGAAAAATTAAGGGTCACGACAAATAAAGGCATCTTCAGAAGATATTCAGACAGGCTGCCCACAAGACTGGTGCATTGGTCCGTACTTGTAGAACGTCGTAGCGGATGGAGCGCTTAATATATTTAAGTCTCAATTGAAATATACGTACAAAAACATATGCGGACGACATTCTGATAAAATAGTAAGGGCCAGTGCCAAAAGAAGATTAGAGACCAAGGCAAATGAAGCGCTTGACTGTCTCGCAAACTAGCGCTCCCAACATAAATTTACGTTTCAACACGAAAAAATGGTTTTCATAGTAATTTTATATCCCCAAACCACAATCACTCGTCCAATCCTTAAATTAAATGAGCAACCAGTAAAGATAAGCAAAACGCAAAAAAATATTTCGGCATTATTTTAGATGACAAATTCAATTGGATTCCGCGTATAGAAAACCTGAACGGGGAAACATCTCTGCAATACAACAGTATGCTCTCGATGACAGATAAAACCCGGAGCATCTCCTCAGCACTTCTAAAAATCTGGTATTACACTGAGACAGTGCCAAGAGTCTGCCACAGAGCATCAGCTTCGTGTACCACAATAAATGCCCAAAAAAGTGAAAAAACGTTCTCAGCCCTCAATGGGGGATGGCTGTCTTATTTTCCGTAATATACATGACTGCGCCGACAAATGCAATACTCAATCTTGCAGGCCTCAAACAACTGTATCCAACAGCGCAAGAGCAGGGAAAAGTGGCGAAATTGTTAATTTTAAGAGTAGACGCCAACAACCTGAACATTGATTATGAGAGGACAGTACCATCGGCAAAAACCCATCCTGCAACATATGACCACGAGGTCTTTATCAGTGGCACACCAGAAGGGGCAGTAGAACTTGAAACAGATAACAATGGCTCAAAGAAACTGGGGACGTTAGTGTCATTGTCGTTTCCACGAAGACGGGGAATAACTATGTTTCTCAATTGTTAAATTGATTGAGAAACCTTAATTCTGTGTTTTAGGAAGAATTATTTGCAAAATAAGCAGTAAAACAGGTTCTTTATAAAAACTTTAGAACAGTTATACGCCTAGATAGCATGTGCAGTATTGAACCTTCTTGTGGGGACACTTCTAAAAGTGGTTTGTTATATGCTTTGTTAGGGAACTTCTCCTCAGCAGCGATGGTCTCATCATCCTGCAGCGGATTAAAGCTTACATAAGGGACGAAGGAAATAAAAAGGCAGAGAAAAGTGTTGGCAAAAGTAGCAACAGCATACTTGTGCCCAGTCACTGACATACTCCCAACCCAGCGTCAATACTGAAAAGAAAATTCAAAATAAATGCGAGCAATAGCTAGCAAAAGCAATGGGACAGAGAGACAACTGGGCCTGTCATTTATGCCTATTTTCCATTAGTCTCGCCGGTCCTAAGATCAGAAAGTTCCATGCTGACCCATCTGTACACTGGACACTGCTCTACACCGGTCTATGTGCATAAGTTCAGCCTTAGGGACTCGTACGAGAGCTCCTGTGGAAAAGTAAACAACTTCGAGTCATTACTTACATAAATCCCCCCTAAAACAGGACGTGTATCTTTCAGAAGCCTCCGAAAATAATCTTCAGACTGGAGAAAACTAGTAGAAAGTAAAAAAGGTCTAAGGAAAGTCAAGATAAATTGCATGTATTTCCGCTAATGCTGAAAATATAGGACCTTTTGCACACAGGGCATTACTCAAAAATGTCCACTGGAAAGTGTATTGCTCAGGCTCACTTAACGTTTAATCTGCAACGCTTATATTTCCTTCACATCGTTTAAATAGTTATGTTATAAACAGTGTAAGTATATCTGTGAATTATTATTTTGATACTCGCATATATTCTATAAAAATGTTCCAATAATATGACACAGTATGCTTTTATACGAAATTGATGCAATTTATATAGTGCAACTTTTAAGCTTATGATATAACGTTCACTTAACTATAGCAACACAGGATTCCAATGTATTTCCTTCAACGGCTTTGTATGCGTAACATTTGTTTAAACTATGTCGCTTTTCCAGACCTCTCAGGCTTTGGCCGTGGTGCAAAGACGGTAGATTTTCTCCTCCATAGATACGCAATAACGGTTTCAACATGTGGCGTTCCGACAGATACTTCAACTTCTATTCATGAGATGGCGCCACGTGTAAAATCCAGTTTTTAATCGGAGCAGCAAAGCGACGTCATTATTCACTCAGACTTCTCGTCAGATAACTGTACGCGACGGTAGCATGAACTGTGTTCCAAGCTCTGCGTTGATCTCTGCAATGTAATTTAAATTGTAATTTAGTACTTACTATATTCTTTTTGTTATAGGAGATTGTCTACTCTTATTTTCTTTAATTATATCATG